TTTATCGGTTAAAGAGAAAAATATCGGTTATGACAAATTTATGTTGTTTATTCTGTATTTATTAGAATAGATTACTATTTTAAATATATTCACCATACTGCCACTCTAATTTAGAGAAATATTTTAATTACTTAAATTAATTTATTAAAAAATTTTCTTTAATTCTAGAAATAAATAAAATAATAATAATGTCTAATAATAATATAGCTAATATTATGTTTTATATTTTAATACAAATGGAATATTATTAGTTAAATATTTTATATAATTTAAAAATTTTCTGGAAATAGTTCATTTTTAAATAATTTAATTTCTCACGATTGAACTTTCTGAGAATATTCTTCGATTGTGTATATAAGTATTCATAAACAATAATATATATACGTACAATTATTATAAAAATTATACTTCGTTCTTTTAAGTTGCAATTATATTTATATGATATATACAATAAAACGTATAATAATTTGAAATCAAGTGCATAACGTATAATGATAATATGCCGATCGATAAATCAATTATTACATTGTATAAATAATTGTAATATAACCTATACTAAATTCAATGATTTTTTATTACAAAAGAAATACACATAAAGCTTTAATTTTTTTAACTTTCTTATTTTGTGAATGATATGTCAAATATTCATAATCCAATGTTATGAATGATTTTTTTTAATAATACTAATTCTGATGTATTATTCAGAAGATGAAAATTGCTAATTTTAAATAAAAGATATTTATAACAAAGATATATTATACTCAAATGGTGATTTAAAAAAATTAAATTTTACTTTTAATAAATTTATAAAAATCCTTAAATGATTCTGCAATAAAACATTGAATTATTAAAAAATCCAAAAATGCATTTACTAAAAATGTTCATAAAATTATGTAATGTATTTTCAGTAATTGTTTATGAAAATATTATGTTCGACTTATTAAGCAATAAATATTTTTTTTACTAATTAAAAAAATTTTAGTTTCATATTGAAAGTCCTGTTGCAAGTACTGAAATTCCATATTGTATTGATCGATATAAATATTTTGTCTACATTCTATAAAAAAATAACGTATAATTCTTATTTACCGAATATTTATTATAATCTATCCTAATTGGTATAATATTGGTTTATTTAATGTACCGGATTCATCAAAAACATACATTGACAGAATTTTATGCAAATTATTTTTAAAACTTGAATATTTCCATAACATTTAATATCTTAAAATTTTTATTATTTTTATAGATACAAGATTAATTAATAAATATATTGAAGAAATATAAAATTGAATATTCAAAAATTTTTTATTGTGAGTAGAACATATATAAGAAAGTGTAAAAAAGATTGCAAAAATATAATAATAATGAATATAATTCTAAAAAATTATTAGAATTAAAATTTGCATGAAATTATTATTTACCAATTTTTAATAGAAATTAAATCAATTTCTAATCCTTTGAATACAATTTTTGTAAATCAAATTATATGAATAATATATATAATAACAACTACTGTTAAGTTTATGTTTATAAGATAAATTTTTATTACAATGAGAAATATTGAAAAATGGTGACAATTTATTAATTTAATAAAATAATTATCCCGATTATATTGATATTTTTTTCAAAACTTCAAATGTGTAATCATTTGAACATGCGTACAAATACGTGCATAAAAATAAAATAATTAATCGTTGATATTAGAGACAAGTATATTTTATAAAATAAAAATATATTTTACTTTACTTCCGATTAAAATTCATTTAAATAAGTAAATAATATATACATATAAAATTGTAAAATAAATTCCAACAATAGATATTTTATACACACTACTTTATAGTATGTGTGCTATGCGTACATGGCTACGTGTATTTTAAAAAAATGTAAAACTTAAAAAATGTTTTTAAAAGGGTTTACTTAATAGTAGTTTTTATAATAATGATTTTTTGCAGTATAATTTGAAATCTATTATTTCATATTTCTAAATTTTATTGGATTTAAAAAATTTAATTAATTTATGAATAAGATTTAGTAAAATAAAAAATTATTTCAAAGTTTGTAAAAATAATAACACAAATATATTTATTTAACAAATATATAAATTATTAAATATAGTAGTTAAATATAAAATTAAATAATCCTTTATGGATTTGTATAAATCCTATTTAATCTAAGATATCCTTACTGTATTTTAATAATGTAATTACATTTATGTTTTAATCCTTTAATTCTTTAAATATTGCCTTACATTTAGACATATATATGATATCTTCAGTAAATTTTTAAGTAATTAAATTTTTTAACGACTTAAATACTGATAAAGAGTAAACACTTAAATTATGATAGTTATTGAACATTATTTTAAATTGGATTACTAAAAGTATTATTTGTTTTCATTTATAATACATATTATCGTATGGAATTCATTCGATAAAATATCTATATAATACTGATATATTGATAATATTGATATCATGTTTTTCTGAATAATTATGTATTCTAGTCGAATAATTTATTTATTGATTTATTGAGATACAAATATGTGGTTTGCTAGAATACAAAAAATGTAAATTGTTTAGGAAATAAGTAAAATATTTATTTGATATTTATAATTATCCATATTAATTCTAATAAACTGAAATCTTTAATATTAATTAATTTGGTATCTATTATTTTAACATAATTAAAACAATACTCGTTGTCCAGATTTTTTATGCGTTAATATATTATATTTGTATATAAAAAATAATTGTATAACATCAAAAAAAAAAAAAAAAAAAAAAAAAAAAAATATATATATATATATATATATATATATAAATAAGATACAATTATATTATTTTAGAAAAGGGTTTTAGAAAAAATTATTTTAGAAATAATTCTTAAATAGAAAACTGGTGAAAAAATTTGAAGACTTAAATTGTGGAGTTTCAAAAATGTATACCGAGTGTAATCACTGTATAATTTGTTTAGTAATAAAAAATATGTATTATGTGAAGGATTTAATGTATTTATATTTTTAGGAATAATGTGCTTCTTGATACTATTAGTTTGAAAAATTAAGGGAAACAAATTTTAAAGTCAATATTAATGTGGTAAATAACAAGATTCGAGTGTTGTGTAATTATGCTTCAACATATTATATGATAAATAAAAATAAAAATTATACTGAATTGAAATTATATATGAATAAAAATATACAATGTAAGTTTTAGCGTACTAATTATATATAATCTATATATGTAGATGTTCAAAAAATAAATCTTTATCAAGCAAGTTTTATAATTACATTATTTTTTGTTTGTTATGCTTGAATCGATATTCTGATGTTTTCAATCTCTATTCATATCGTATCTACGGAAATATAAAAATGGTAGATTTTTAGTGGTTAAAAACATGAAAACGTAAGCGCAAAAATAAAAGAATAAACTTAAGAAAATTTTTTAAATTGTGCTTTGGAAAAAAAAAGTAAAATCGAGTAAACCGATAAATTTATCTATGTACTATCTGAAATAAGAGTAAAAAATTACAGAACTAAATTAAAGAGATAATGAATTTAAATAATATTTAAATGAAAAAAATTTAAATAATATTTAAATGATTCAATAACATAACTCAATAAAAAAAAATTAATTACGCTGTATTAATTAAATAAAAGAATACAATATATGCATTAATAGGATTCGATTTAATTATTTGATATGTATATATATTCTATAAGTTCGTTATTGTACTGTATAGGTGTGTATATTAATTGACCATATTTATTCTTTTTTAAATAAATGTTTTAACGATAATGTTTAAAAATTATTTTCCACTCTATTGTCCTGTTCCCGTATCACTTTAATTACTTATTCAATACAAAAGGATTACAAATTTCTATAAATTATTTGGATTTCCATATGTATTATATTTAAGAAATTAAATTTCTTTATTTTTTTTTTTTTTTTTTTGATTAACATATTTATTAAATATAAATAATAATGTAATTTTTATTATCGAATATCTTAACCATAATATAAAAAATTTAGTTTATTAGTTAATTGAATTAATTAAATATTTAATTGAAATTAATAAAAAATAAATAATTCGTTAAAGGTCAAACAAAAAAAAAAAAGATCCACATAGTTCACGTATTGAATTTGTATAACTTTATTTACATTATTACATTTTTGTTACGCAATTTTTTATGACGTTATCTCATAAATACAAGTCTGGCGCATTATTCTTGTAATTTATAAAATCTTCTACAGACAACATTAAATTCGATTTTACTTCTTGTAAATTATTCAATTAATATATACATACCGAATAAAAAGTATTTCATTTATGAGAGACACACCTATGCACTCTCATTTATAAATATATATATATATATTATTTAATATATATTATATATTATATTTACATGCATTTATATGAAAAACTTACTCAATCAAAACGTTTTGTTGTCAATTAACCATATATAGCACAAATAAAGCATTTGAAAAAAAAATTTATGTATTAAAAACAGAATACTCTTATATTATTTTGTGCCCTTTTATAAATTACTTTTTTATTAATTATTCACGTTATGTGTTATAATATGTCTGTTCAAAAAGTATCAAAACAGTGTTACAGCTATGAAATTATATCTTTCTTTTTCTATTTCCAGGTACATAAAACTTTAAACATAAATTACGTAATCAGTTAACTCAAATACCATTTTAAGCATATTGTATCATTAAAATAATATATTATATTCAATTAAAAACAATTAATAAATTATTTAAAATTTGATTATTCCAGGGCCATTTTCATTACTGTAATAAATTTTTAACTTTGTAAGATAATTAATAGTGATGTTGGTAAGAACCGTCTTGCAATTATTTTTGCATCATAAGAAATAATTACTTTCTAAAGTATTAAATTAAATATGTACGTAAGTTGATTCACTTTAATTATTCCGATACTCTGTCTATAAATATATGTGTATATATATATATATATTTTTTTTTTTAATCTATTCCTTTTGAATCTACAGCATCGATTTTTGTTAAAAAGGACGATAACAAACAGAATTTGAATTAGGAGAATTATTTGTGGGTGGTCTAAGGAGATCGTGGTACTGCATTAGCGCTTCTCTTAATGAACGCGAGACTTGGCCTGAGGCTGTTGCGACCGTACATTCGACGAGACATGGATACAACCCTATTAGCTGCTCCCATACCAAACGCTCCACTACAAAGATTGAAAATAAAATATAAAATTACACATAGATAACAATGTAAATAAGGTGGCAATCTATTTACTTTAAAAGGCACGTTTTCCTTAATCATTTCAACGTTAATATCAAATAGTGCACAACTCAACAAGTATTTTAATTCTCATAATTAAGTATTCAATTGGTTTATAAATTTTTAATAACGTCTAATATAATAATTTAGTAGTATAATAATTTATAATTAAGTGTATAATAAATTATTGCTAATATTAACTAAAATATATCAATAATTTCCTATAATTTTCCATAAATGAATTCATTGTTAATGAAAATTTTACCTTTATTTGCTGGAGCCTTTTTTAGTGAGACGACAAGAGTTGCTACAGCTTTCAAGACGAATGATATTTCCGACAACCTGTACCTAAAAGGCAGTTCTATAGTCACCTTTTTTTGGAAAACATAAAAAGCATACGAAAAAAAGAAGCATCTTGTTCAAACGATAGGCGTTACCTAGGGAGCGGACATTTGCCACTTCGACGCTCATCTTCGATATATCTCTTAAGAACTTCTTGAAATCTATGTAACAAGGCCGTGACGGCAAGTCGACCAGCAACGCCACCTTCATCTGCTATGTTATCAGTATCACTATATTCAATTTCGTTATTTAAACCATCGAGCAGTGAGAATTGTAAAAGAGTTTCGAAACATGTTTTTGCAAATTCTTCTCTCAATTTTGGTTCACCATTTTTTTCTATAAATATTTTACACGCATTAGTAAGTTAACAATAATTAACGTCACTTATAATGACAACAAACTATTTATTTTTTCGTATATAATAAATATTGTAATTCAAAACAAATAATGTGCAATTTAAACTTTTTTAAAGTTACCAATATTAGATGTTGCAGAATGAATGGATCCTTTATTTAACAACATAACAACTCGTAAAATAAATTGATGTGGAATGTATTGCGAATGCGGTAAAACTTCATCTCTCAAAAGCTCCATTACTTGACAATCTACTGCTTCATCAGCTTGAATTTCTTCCACACCTCGATCAGCATTAATTACACTAGAAGCAGTTATATAATTTTAATATTCCTACGTTAGAATTCAACGTATTGAAATAAATTAGTATTGTTTGCTTAAGTAAAAAAAAAAAAAAAAAAAAAAAAAAAAAAATCATAAAAATTATTGTAAAACAATATGCAAATTTATTGTTTAACGTATTTACCTTGAAGGAAATAGAAAATGATCGAGAGTATTGGCGAGCTCTTGCCACATATTTTGAAAATGATCTGGGTATTTTCTTGCAAGTGGTAAACCTATGTGTAAAATAGTTAAAAGACTCTTTACTGCTAGTTTCCAGGTGGTATGTGAAGGACATACATATTTCATAGCTAAAGGAACGTGAAGTGCTTCTATAATGTATTTTAGGATATGACCCTCGATTACGAGAATCTTCGCTGCAGTTTTCTGATATAAATTGACGACCATAGTCAGTGCTTTTTCTCCGAATGGTACATAATTCATAATAACCCAATCCGTCTGAAATAAATGTTTTTGCATATTTATTACAAAAATTAAAATTTATTATAAATCATCATATCGATAAAGAGAAACGATAGATAGGTATGTATAAAAATACTCTTGAATAAATCATAAAAGCAGAATATTTATTAGTTGTTGGTAAGAATTGAAATTTATATAAATTTTAACTGTAGCTTAATTTATAGCATTTTTGGCAAATTCATTAATCATATTTAAGCAAAGATAAGGAAAATAGCATTCAAATTTCTAATTTTACATAAATAAAATAATTCTTTTAACTTAATGAAAGCTATAAAATAATATTTTTTGTTCTTTAATTTCGCTTCAATCATTGCTTTTGTTAAAAACAATTTTTACACACTTCACGGTATCAATTTTACTCTAAATACTACATTTTATTACTTACGGATACGCCTCTAACTTGAGAAATGTGTTTTGTAGCAATTTTTCCGAATATTGGTGGTTCGCATGCTAATTTTGAAAAATACAGTAATTGCAAAAAAATTGGGCTAATCATTGTTTGCAAATTTTCAGTTGTCGACAATGCTTCCTAAAAAATTACATAACTCAATAAAGACAATCATTAGCAAGTGTAAACAAATTGATCTATTTTAACGATATTTGTTTACTTTTTGAAGCAGTTCCATGGAGTGCAGTATTCCGTCTTGTAACTGTGTAAGGACGATGTCTGGTACAGTCGGTAAGATGTAAGGTGTGGATTCCCCGTGTACTGGTACAGCGACTGCATTTTTTAGGACGAGGCACAATTTTTGTAAGTCGATCGCAGAAAATCTAAATGAAATGATATTAAACTTTTTACATTTAAAATATAAAGAAAATTATACTTTACATCGTTGTTTAAATGTTTATTTCCATTAAAACGAAAACATTATTAAAGAACGTAAAAATTATATATTAAAAAGTAATTGCAACAAGCACAATCAATTGATTATTTTTATTTCACAAAAATAAAATTTTTTTATTTAATTGTAAATCAATTGCTAATAATTAAGAATAATGTAGCAGTTGTATCATACTTATATTTAACGTGTTGGAAAACGGCGGGAAATATTTGAACTAAAGCAGTTAAGAATGCTTGCGATGGAATGTAAGGCTCTATTTCCATATCTTGGGGTGGTTTCGTACTATCTAAGCCAATGTTAAGCCAAATGCGCCATGCAACAATCCACAACGCTTCAGAATCGTCTGGCTGCACAGAATCATTATTGTCGATATTTTTAGGAAGATATAAAATTTCTTGAAATGACTTTAAGGCAGCGAGGGAAACCTGTAGAAATAGCAAATAAAATTTAAAAAATTTGGTAAACTGAAATTTGAAAGCGATTATTCCTCATACCTCGTTATTTTTACTGAGTGCCGAATTTTCAATGAATTCTAAGAGAAGTGACCAAGCTCTCGGGAAATCCCCTAGCATTTGCAAAAGCTGACGTTTTGTGTTAAAAACTCTGGCAACACCACTTAAAGTCAGTACCTACATAAAGCGAAAATGTAGTAAATATTTTATATAAAATTTACAATTTATAAAATTGTATGACTTAGTTTATTAAGTAAAAGAAAAACAACAAACAATTGCTTATGTCGTTTTGTTTACATTTATCGAAGTAATATGCCAATAAAGTAAAATTAATAATAGCATAAACTATTTTTTACTTAAATTTATGATAAAATATTTGCTTATCGCTTTTAATTATTATTATTATTATTATTTTTCAATATTTTGAAGATAAGATAAATATTCTCAATGAACAAGTAAATGTATATTAATCTTATTGCTATTAATAACAAAAATTATTTATATAATTTATGTTATTTTCATAAATTAATGTTTAATAGATTTATAAATTGCATAAGATACTTTAAAGAAACGAAATTAGTTACCCAATAAGGAATTCTCTTATGTGCTTAAATCTAGATTTTCAAGTTTTAAGAATTTTGAAAATTAGTTTCAATTTGAAATAAATTTTCCAATCTCTTTAACCAAGGAGCTTACATCAATATCATAATTATACCTTAATTCTTATATTGATTCATAATTATAATATCGATCAATTAGTTATGCCATTAATCATTAAATAAATCTATTGTTCATAAAGCTCGATCTAACGGAATCTTACGAATCACTCGTCGAATTAGTAGTTAAATACAAGAGCTGAGCTCTGTTTACCTGCGTTTCCGCCCATTGTTTCTGGGCCGTGTTCCTACTGTGATGTATAAGTATGTTACCAGAAGTATCGACTTTTTCATTGCTCGCCGAGCTGGATAAGCTCCTAACTTTGTCTAGAAGCGGAAATAGAACCTGCCAAAGTACGGCCTGCCACGTCGGTTGGTGTAATAAACTGCCATGAGCGGATATCGTGGAGAAAAGAGTTTGGCTCGCGGATTTGCGTACCGCCGGTCGAGGATCCACGCATAGATCACCGAGTCGTGCATACAGGCACATCCACAGTTTATCAAAGGCTGGCATATTAGTAGTGCCGGGGAAGTCTGGGAACACAGAGGCAGAATCGCCACGTAGCGATGCACAGATTTTCTCTTGATTTTGATAAAAGTAATCGCTTATGTTCCACTGTGACGAGTAATTCAATAAACTTGATTAATGATTTATGATTTGTGTTTGAAATTATTAGTTTGAAATATTGATACTTTTATTACCATTTGACCAACAGCGGTAAGCGATATATTTAGCTCTTGAGTTTGGGAGCCAAACTTTGCCGCTGTATCAACACAAAGGGGAAGACACCTCCAAGGCATTACCGGTAAAAAGTCTGTTACTACTAATTGCAGACATTGAAAAGCTATTCGAACTAAAGCCTCTCTGTAAATTTAATACACACTTGTGTTTATTTTCAATTTCATCCACTTTATTTTTCGACATTTTTTCAATATTTTATAATATTTTTAAACTTCAGCGTATTCAAATAAGAATTTAAGTAAACTCATTGTTAATTTGCTTATTATTATTATTTACCCATGGTGATCGGAAACTGCGCCAATGATTCCTAGTACTAATGGCCAACCGTGAAATAACGTCTCACCAGCGCCATGCAGAATCTGTAATACGCATTCCAATTGCCTTTGTCTGACATCAGCGTGTCGCACCAACGATAATTCAGATAATGGCCCTAGGAGAAGTGTTTGCAGTTTCTTCAAAACAAAATAAATAAATAAATAAATAAATAAATAAAGATGACCATTGGTTAGAGAAAAAAGCAGTATAAATAAAATCTAATCATATATATATATATATATATATATATATATATATATGTAATTATGAGACGAATACTTGGTTATCTCTTAGTGGCTGAGGATATTTATGTTGAAGGGCGGCTTTCACCAGATACGTAATTGCTTCAACGCCCCATTCTCTCATCCTTATATGAGGATGCTGACAAACTTCTAACAAATGGTTAGTTAACGGTCTCCATAAGACTTCCACTCTTGGTAAATTGACTAATCCAGTTTCTAAAAGCTTCGCTACCGCGAAAAGAGACGGTTCCTAAAAACATGATACAATATAATATTACAAATTATCTACAAGTTTTATAACATTGTTTATTAAATATCAATTTTTTTTTACGGATAATAATAGATGATTAATTAATTAATTAAATTGTACGTAAGACTTAAAGCTTAGTTACTGAAAGTTAATAATTTAGTTATATATATAGTTTATATATTAGTTATATATATAAATTATATAATTTAGTTAATAAAAAAAAAAAACACAATAGAGAATCATAAAATTAATCGTACTGTATTAATATTAGACTAAATATGTTTGTCACTAGACTATGAGATTATTCATTTAGGCGAAAGATTAAAAGAAAAAGGGATTCTTGCAAGTAAAATAGATTGAGATTTTATCACATTTGTACAATTCTATAATCAATAATAGGCATTACCATCTATTTCAGTTTATAAGAAAATATTTCGCGTTTTTTGTTCTTGTTATTTTTGTTTTAGAGTTCGAGTAATAATAACGAACCGTTGCGAGTAAATGAGCGTCGAAAATCTCGAATAAATGATTTCTACGCGAATGTAAAAGATTTATGATAAAAAAAATGGAGCTTACTCTATTGGTGTAGGCCAGTTCCATGGCCTCCTGACTAAGTTTACAAAGGGCGTCGATGAGGTGGTGAAGCGCCACGTCGTTGAGATGCTGACTGCTCTCGAATAATCGACTGAGCATGGCACTGAGGATCGGCAAGTCGGCCATTACAGCAGTGGTTAACATAGCGTTGGAGTCAGCGGCGGTTCGTCCGGCTTTGAGCGAACCACCAGTCGAGGGTTTGAGTCCGAGGATCCAAGCGAGGTGCTGAAGTGTGGTGAGAACAAGGTGCCAGGCACTCCCCAGGATGCTTCCTTGACAGTGAGCCAAGAGCAAGAGTGCTCGCATACACTGGAGGTTCTTTACAGTCAGCATCACAGGACCCTGTTGAGCGCCTATCACTTTTCTGTTATTTTGTCTTTCATTGCCATGCAAATTCGTGTAATTTTAGTCAAACGTAAACATCCCTCTTGTGTATTATTTTTCATTTGCATATGGTCATTCGCTAGATGCCATTATAATGCATATTATTAAATGAAGCTTGATTATGAAAAATATCATATTAATTTTTTGTTTACAGAACTTCATGTTTATTTGTAAATTTCAATTATGATTTAAATTATAAAAACAATCACACGGAATAATTTCTAAAACAATAATAACAGAATGTTGCAAATAGTTTGAGTCAGAAAACGTACAGATTAAAATATTCATAATGAAATGGCAATTGAAATATCCAAAATAAAATACGAGAACATTGTAGTTTAAATTTTTTTTTGTTTAATTTCATAGTCAGATTTATTATTAGAATTCAAACCGTATTTTCTTTATTATCATCAAACTTAAGTAATAATAATAGTAATCTATTCAACTTTTATCGAACAAAACTAATTATATGCGTAATAATAATATTCAACATCTAATACACATATATAATAAATAAATTGTTAACTAATTCATATTAACACAAATTATTATATTTACAATTAAACATAATTTATATTATTATATTCATAAATATATTGGAAAGTAAATAATATAAAATTCAATGTTATTAAAAAAATAAAAATAATAATAATAAAATCATCAAGTATAAAACAAAGACATTCACAGATATATTAATAAAGTACTAATATCTACTAATTCGTAAATAATATCGAAATTCGATGTAATCGCATCATGCTGTACTCTAGAAAAATTAATGAATTTGAAAAAGTATTTAGTTTTTTAAACAACTTCAAACAAATAATACAAGAAATTAATATGTTTATTGTAATATGAAACTCATTACTTGTTTGACATATACAATTCATATCAAGTAGTATAATAAAATAATATTTAATATAAACCTTAATATTAAATAAAAATACAAAAAGGACTGACATTTTTTTAAAGTTTTATTTACTCCTTTTTACATACTATTATGCTTCATTTAATATTTAATCAAAGTTACAATGTTATTTCAAAGACGTCTATTCTTAGTGGAATTATTTCTAAAAATACATGTGATTTATAAGTCAATGATTTATAAAAGAATTATAAAAAATATAATATAATTATAAAAAATACAATACACTAGTTTATAAAGCATAGTGTACAAGCTGAAGAAAAAGAATGTAGTAGAGAAAAAAGGTGAGTAACCAACTACGATGATATTTAATTTATTATAATGTTTACATTTTTTTAATCAATGAATTAATTTGGCAAAATAAAATTGTCTCTATATAATAAATTTATTCTTCTTCATTTCCTTCTCGTCGATCTTCTTATAATAATAATAATAATTGTTGTTAATAATACCAAGAAATCGGGGAAAAAAGTGAACTTACCAATTGGGAGAGAGGCCGTTGGGAGTGGAGTTCCAACGGCTACGACTTGCTGCCTATAATCCGAGTCCCCTAAATTGGATGGATTATATTGATTGGCCGACGTCGTTCCCGACGTCGTTCCCACATCCTGTTGTTGCTGCTGTTGTTGCTGTTGCTGTTGTTGCTGCTGTTGCTGTCTAGCTCCGGAAGCAATACCCTGGGGAGCACTGTAGAGTACCGTGAGAGCGTAATGAGGAGGCAACGAAGCTTTACAAATGGCCGTGATAAAGGCGTCCCGAGGTGTGTGCAAGTCTAACAATCCGCAGAGCGATGCGAACGTCTGGATTTCCTTAAGCACGTTTTCCGTAGCAGATTCGTCGGTACTCGCGTCGATTAGCGGACTCAAAGCCGCGAGTAGACCACACCAACTTGAACTGATGAGCTGCACATGGAGCTTGCGTTCGAGCTCGGACGGCTCATAGTTATGTTCTGCACCCTCCTCGCGTGGTCCGATTATGGCCAGGGCAATTGAGCGAATTATGTCAAGGAGACAAGCATACGCGATACTAATGCCATAGCCGTCTGGAATTTGTGGCGGATCCACCTTGTCCAGCATTTCTAAGCTTAAGGATAAAATGGAATGATGTTTTAAAGCGATCATTTTTTTTTTTTAGAAGGACTTGACATTGACTTTTGTTGTAATTAAATTAATTATTATTTTTTTTAAATAATATTTTTATTTTATTTTTCATTAAATCCTAGTTCAAAGCAATTTATAATCATTATTCTAAATCTTATATTACTCACATTTGAACTATCTTCTGTTTCATGTTAAATATTTTATTAAACAATCAAAAGCAAAATGACCAATTGTTTTTTTAACTAAATTTAAATACAATATTTATGAAAGTTCTTAAAAAATAATTGTATTGTATGGTTTTTACAAATACATAATGTGAGATTAAAATGTACTCGATATATTTATATAAGATTGTGTAATAATTATGCTCATAAATATGTTTAATATATTAGTAATATCATCTCATATATACGAATATACGAAGTATAAGAAATATAAGTATCCAAGAATATATTTTCCGTTTTCTGTTTTTGAAAACAATAGTAATTATTTTTTAAATTATTAAAGTATTTTATTTCTTATTTTTGTCGAATGTTTACTGCATTAGTTATACTAATTATTAATATATACTACTGTCGCCTCAAAATAAGTACGACCAAATTTATTGTGCCTGTTTGAATTAATTATTTATTATAATTAATTTAAAAAAGATCGTTATTTAATAAATATACATATTTCATTTTTATGATGCTATTAAATGTAAATCTATAAATTCATTAAAAGAAAATTTTCAAAATCATTTACAAGAAATAAATTTTATATTCATTATTTTTTTAATTAATAGCGCAAAGTACCATATTACTTAAATACTCTACAATATGAAAGCTAAAAAGTACATTTTATAACATCTTACATGATTTTACCAAATTAATTATAATGTTTATTAATAATATAATAATGTATAGAAATATAATATATCAATAGCGAAAACAAACTCAGACTTACTATGTTGATTTGGCTTGGCCACTAGTAAATGTAGCTACTACTGGAAGCCAGATTCCTCTTGAGTAGAATCCAGGCTGAGGAGTCACACCGGGTCCTATGGGCATCCCTGCCAATAATGCTGGAGCAGTACCTTGTGCAATTGGCGCAGCTGATCCTATTAAAAAATGATAACTTTTAAGCTTTATATAATTTAATATAATGATTTGCTCCAGACTTGATAAAACGTTCATTTATAAGAAATACTTATTAATATCATAATTTATAAGTAATATTTTATATATGTACATTAGTATAGTAATATGCCCTTAATGTATTGAGTTAATTTCTTTAAGATTTCCATAAATAAAAATCTTGATATATATATATATATGTATATATCGCAAAATTATGTTTTTAATATAAAACTATCCAACAATTTTCAATTTTAATTTTTGAAAGTCTAATGGTAATTGTAATAATTAAAAATATAATTATTTAATGGGAATTATTCAGTTTTTATAAAATAATGATATTAAAAATCAAATGATAAATAATAAATAAATTTAAATAAAAGTTGAAATTTTCAATTTTTAGTTTCTTAATTATCTTAAGATTATGTCTTATCAGGTTAGATAAGAATATAATAAATTTATTTAATTAATATACTAAATTCTTATCTTAGAACTTAGTTATTGATCATATGTCCAACCAGAAAACTTTTTTTAATAGAATTTTATATAAGTTTAATTTTTTTTACATATTGAAAGTATGTAGGACATAAGTATGAATTAAATTAAATTTCAAATAATAATCAAGAAATTAATCATTCATTATAATTTATAAGAAAATTGTAATATAAATAAAATAACATTCTATGTTCTTTAAGGATAATTTATCTTTACTATTATACTTAGATATTTTATAAATAATTTAAATGGAACTGTAATTTTTAGAATTTGCATATTTATAAAATAAACAAGGCATTTATAATATTATGCAATATTAATATATTACAAACCTGTATTAGTCTGTACCATATGTGGATTTATAAAAAGACTGTGTACATAAGCCCCTAAACTATTAACTATATCTTGAAATATATTAGTAGCATGTGGTTTTAAATCATAGCAATTACAGAAACTAGTCAATAAATCAGCCTGAACTGTCATCTTGTGCAGAACTTCTAATGCTAAAGCACGTTGCCATGGTGGTTTATCGGGATCCAAAAACTTAACAATTAACGATAAAAAAATTTCACATTCTGTTATCTACAAAATTCAAAATGAACCACTTAATACAGAGTTTACTATATTATAGATAAAATATAATGTCAAAATCTTACCAATAATGAATGATATTTTTGAATTAAAATTGATACAACTCTAAGCAATCTCATACTTATTGGAAAATATGGTTTATCAAGAGGTGTTGCTTGTTGCACAGAAGCTGGCACAGAGTTTCGATACTTTATATTAGGTGAAAATAGTTTTATAACAAGAGCACAAACGCGTTCCTTTAAAAGAAAACTAAATTCTGGGTGCTATAGTTAAAAAAATATTATTAATTTATAATTAATGTTTAATATTAATAGTAGTATATAATCGTATAATAGTAATAATATAACAGTAATGAAAAGTTCAAATATTTATTACCTTGAAAAATACTGATGAAAAATTCGTCAAAACAGATTCTAGTAATTCCAGACCAAAGGTTCTTGTCATTTCAGTAATGCCTATTAACCAATATGGTTGGTCTGCATTAACTAATTGTACTAAATCCTAAAAAAATCATATTAATTTGTACAAAAATGTGAAAATATAAATGTTTAATAAATGATTATATTAAATTTAAACACATCAAAAATTATAATATATTCTATAAAAAAATGTTCTTTTAAGCATACTAATTATTTGTGTGCCTTTAAAACTAAATTAGTAATAGAGACATGAAAATAATAAATTTATTATTTAAATAATTACATTGGAAGTTTCCAAATCTTAGTAAAACAAATTAAAATTTTTGTAAATTATAATTTTATAGATTAAAAATCTTTAAAGATAAGTAATATTAATTAAATATTTTTAATTGATAATTTAACTCGTAATTTTATATGTAAGTAACATGCACTTCAATGTCAAAATATATAAAACACTGTGATCTTTGTGAAATGTACTAACTGATATAATTATATGATACTAATTAAGCACCAGTAACTGAATTAGAATTGAAAATTCTAATTGACTGTTTGAACATTTAAATAATATTTATTAAACAATTCTACCTGAAACATTAAATATGCATCAGCAGCACAAGGTCTGAGAGCCTTTGGTGCTTGATTTGTAGATAATTTGAGTTCTTCCAAATTACTTTCCTCTTGTATCTGCTGATCAGAATGTTGATCATTTTCAATAACAACTCGCTCAAACACAAGAGAAACCAGTTGTCTAACAGTAGCTCCGGCAGTATTAATAGTCGTAGAATCTTTAGTGAAATGAAGTCGAAAACAAAGTACCAAGTTCTAAAGTATATCGATACATAAAATGAATATTCAATTATCTTTAAATATTTTAAAATAGAAAGAACAAATTGCATGACTTATTAACTCACTCTTGCTAGAGTATCTCCATGAACAATTGAATTACTCGTCAGTAACAATGTTACTGTTTGTAAAATTTTAACTTCTTCGATACCTGCTTCCATCAATATCCATAGCGCATCAGTAATATATCGAGCACCCTTTTGATCAATAGCTTGTTGAGTTATCAGTCTTTGCATTGTATTTAAACAAAACTGAAATATAAATTTAATACAATACACAAAAATAGTTGATGTAAAGAGTTCCTCATATTAATATACCTTAATAATCTTTAAATCTTTACTTTCACATCCCTGGACTAATGGATAGAGGATTTGATTGACAACATAATACATTTGTCCTGGTTGGCTATTTGAAGATGCTTGTTTTAACTTGACTATTCCTTCTTCACATGACTAAAGGTAAAAGTACGATTTTAACAATTCATTTTTATGAAATATGTATTTAATGAATTATACTATAATTATGATTTTTCTATAAAACATATATTTTTTGTGTATTATTTATTAATACAACTAAATTTTTACAAATACATTGAAATAAAGGAAAAATTAAATAAAATTAAAAATACAAGGAAAAATAAAACATTAAACAGTATTAAATGGTAAAAAAAATCAATTAAAGAAAAGACTAATACTAGTAATATTACTACTCTTACTATAATATTAATTTTCAAATTCTATATAAAGTGTAAATTATATTTTACAAAATTATATATATATATATATATATATATATATGGCTATGTGTACGTATATGTATGCATATGTAGACATTTGATAAATTGTTTAGAAATATAATCTTTATCGAAAAACTTTTATCTAAAAACATTTATTTAAGTAGAATGAATATTATTTCATGCACAATAATAAAATTATTAAAATTTTAAACAAGAAAAGCTTCAAATATGTAAATATGTAAAAGCTTAAATACAAATTAATAGAAAACTAAAGCGATTTGTTTAATATGCTTCAAAGTTCATGACAATGCATAAAACATTGTAATTATAATTGCAAGATTAAGGAATCATTGTGCGTGCATCGATATGGAGTATTTAAAACTCTAGTAAATTAATTTGTGGACTGATGTTAAACAAAGCGTTTGCATTATCAATTTTAGAGTGCATTAGTAAAATGTAATATGACAGAGAAAAGATATATTAAGTAAAATAAGCTCTAATATAATGATTTAACAGATTGTATTATGAGTGGACCCTATGTTCTGACCTCTTTGATCTGCGGATATTTTTTCTTCGTTTCAGAAGCAAGGATTTTGAGGTCAGCTTGAAGGGACTCGAAAAATTTGGTAACGCTCTCCTGAGCATTGCCTCCAGTAGCGGCACTCGACATTTTTCCTCGTAGATGAGGTACAATACCTACACCTACGTACGTGTTTCTGTCGTCTCTCTCTCTCTCTCTCTCTCTCCCGCTCCCAATCACTCTCTCTCTCTCTCTCTCTCTCTCTCTCTCTCTTTCTCCCTTTCTTCAAACACGCTCTCTTGTTCTTTCCTTCTCGCTCCTCTCTCACTAGCTTTCGCTCCCGTTTATTTACTGATGTGAGAATGTGTGGTTAACACTCATATCGAGTGCTAATATTGCATGTAATGTTCGAGCATTCGTCCCGCTAAGCAGAACTACGACAATTTTGTTTCTGACAGCGGCGTTTCGTGTACAGTCTGCTGTTGTGTTATCTTTTCAGCGTGGTCGTAGCTCCACCAGACGATCATCCAGTAAGGACTGAGTTGGCACCATGACGATTACCAACAAATACAAATTGATAATGAAACGATAAATTAGCAAATTCCAAAACTTGGATACATGCATGCGTACACATTCAAAAATGCATTATATGCCGCATGCATGTATTGATATGAAACTCATAGCAGCTGTCACTTTTTATACTAACCTATTGTAATGATATAATAACTGACGTACGGCTGTTGGTAAAGATGGTTACAAGACATTCCGGTGACGATAATGACATCTGCGTGCATAGACGGATGGGATTTTCGATAAGCAAATACAATGAATCAAATATTATCCAGGTGTTGTATTTTTTTTTTTTTTTTTTTTTTTTTTTTTTTTTTTTATTTTATTTCCCTTATCTTTAAGAGTTTTTAATAGAAGCATATATCGGACTAACATATTTAATAGATCGAATGATTAAATAATAGATAAGAAATAAGCAATCAATTATGGAAATGATTGATTTTTACTTATAATACATTTTAGATTATTCTACAAGGAATTCAGAATTCAAAAAAAAAAGACAAAAAATAAATTAATCAATACAAGTAAATGAAATAACCTTATATTTTTATTTTTATTTTCAAATCATAAAAATAATGTGCTGTAAAATTTTGAAATATTTCTTAGGCTGACGGTTTTACTGAGCATTAAAACATCTATTCTTGTAAACTAAATTAATCGTAGAAGCAATAAAGAATCAATATAAAATTGTTTGTATATACAAATGTTACAAATAAATATTATCAATATTTTTCTACAATTTGCAATATTCTTTTATTCTTAATAATTTCTTCATAGATAATATTAATTGAAAGCAATAGCATGACTATAATGAAATGTTTCTATTCATTGATTATTTAATTATTATTTTGTAGAATACAAAGATCTGACTGAAAACTATTTTATATTTTTTTAAGCACGTTTAGAATGGAAGTTTGAATAATAATAATAATAATTGGATTGAATAAGATTGAAACAGAACAAAGTGAATACTAATATCTCCGCCAAGGGAATGTAGGGAATGTAATATTGATATTGTTATTAAAAATTTTATTATTTTTTTTCCGTTGAACTTATAGATCAAATATAGATATATATATATATCAAATCTAACACATTTCTTCCTCTTACAAAACGATATTTAATCGTAAAAGTCTGTCACAGAATTCTTATACTTCAAACATTTTTATCATAAATTATTTAAGGCAATAATTCTTTAAGGAGAGGTTTTAAGAAAAAATATTTTGCTTAATTTCCTTAATTTCTTGATAATTATTAGAGTTTATCGCGGAAAACTATAAAACAAAATCATATCGTCATTGACTTCTTAATATTCAAATGAATGTTGCTCATTATTAAGATTGCTTTTGCAAGACAATTTTAACTAGTTCAATTATAATCAAACCTCGTTAATATTGATTAAAAACAAATTCGTCGACAATAATAACATTTCATTTCATATAATCTTCATAGAAAATCATTTTTGCTATAATTTTTTTTTTCATATCGTTATTAATTCCCTTATAATTAATATATGTCATTACATATCATACACTTTAAGAAGTTGCACAGAAAAGAAAATGTAATGTCGGTCATTTTCAAACTCTACAAATCTTTGGAGGGACTGCTTTATTATTTAGTACTGGCATACTGACCGCTATTTCTCAAGCCACTGTAATTACAATTATTAATAGATGCGCAGAAATATCACTCACGCAATTATACACGACAACAAACCGGCCACAACCAGCCGAGTAGCGCGCATACAACCTTTCTTCCCTCCCGCGACTCGAAGAGATTCATTGGTTGTTTACAATTCATCGCTCCCGCGACTGCGCATGCTCCATAATTCCTCGTAATATAAAAATGACCGTGAAGTAAATCTAGTCAGGGTCAATCGCTATGAATCGGCTTTTGCACTAAACACTTTATTCTGAAGCCTTCGTGTCAATTGTATCGAAATATCCGAATTCGAATTTTAGTTATTATCTTGACAAGTCGAGACCATTAGATAGGATATTATTCGAGACAGGTTCTTTTAATGTGTCTTCTGCTAAGGCTGCTCAATATCACGAGTACCGGTAACCGTCGAGTATTAACGGGTGCTTCGTCATCACCTCCGTTGCACGTCACGTTGGCCATTTGAATATTGAATGAACAAGGATCATCAGTCCCTATTTGAGCTAAGGTTAACCGAACGCTGTTCCCGTCGTCGTTGGAGATTACACTATTCAACCTATAACTAAGGGCACATTAAAATATTAATATTTTAATATTAATATTCTTTTAAATTCAATGTAGAACGAATGACGAATAATCATAAAAAGATTTATATTTTTCTCATTTTTATATATTGTTAGTTGCCATAGATTATAGTGTCGTTTGACTTTTATTTGCATATTTCATTTTATCTGGGCTAAAATAAAAAAAAAAAAAAAAAAAAAAAAAAAAAAAAAAATTAAGACATTAATAATAGTTTAATTTGTTATACATTAAATTATTGTATAATATTTAAACATACATCGAATTGAGAATTACGATCGAGTAATCGAACTAAACTTAAAAAGTTTATACTTAGAACTACGAAGTTTTCTGACTAAAATCGTTTATTGCTTATTTATTTTTATTAAATTTAAATGTTCGATGTTCGCCGTTTTAGCGAACGTTAATTAATAACCGGGGAAAGACCTGACAGTATTACGATCATTCTAGATTCTCTTATTTTTATACTTATGGGATCTCTCAGTTTAATAATTTTTTTAATCTAGACAACATCGTCTTTTATCGATTAAATTTTTATTTTTTTTTTCCATACTTCGATTGTCATTGCAAAAATGCTGTGCGCGTGTTTGATAAAATTCTTTTATTTAATTTTATTACGCATCCATTATGGTATTTCATCGCGTATTATGATTTAAAAAATTATACTACATCAATGAAATCATTAATTTCTAAAAATAAACATTATAATTAAATGATTAATTTACTACGAGTATTGTTACTTATTTATATTATTGTAAATTAATAATTGCTTCTTTTACTAAGCAAATTATCTTAATCAAGAGTTCAATATTGTTGTTAATTATTAAAGTTTTTTTTATGTTTTGCAAATTAATTTCACATTTATATCTTATTTACCGATAATATCTCACAAGTTAAGTTTTATATTTGTGTGTAGAGCATTTTTTTCAAAACACATTAAATATTTGTATAAATTTTACAATAAATTAACTGTAATTTTAACATATATTATTTGTTTGTATACATACTTGAAACATTATTTATCTTTCACGTAGAATAATTAATAAGTATTCACACATATGGTGTGCGTCAGATAAAATGTGCAAGCAAAAATCGCAAAATATATATTTAATAGCATAATACTTTTAGTGTCGTTCTGTCTACCCTACTAATAAAACATATTCTTGATTGTGTATAATCCTTTACTTTGTATATTAAATGCAATATATGATACTTTATAATTATAGTACATTTATATTATATGCTGGATTAAAAAATTATTGCTTTGTTATTAAATACGCTGTAATCTTTATAGTTATTTTCTAAAAACGAATGAAAATTTTATTATGGTGAATAGAAGAGTCGATTATTGATGCTGAATAATTCTATCTTCGCTGTTAATTTCAATGTTACTTTGTTGCTTTTTAAAAAAAATATAATAATTGTAATTGCTATAATAAAAATAAAAAGTTTCATTCCATTCGCGTAACTAGCAACTACTAATAATATTATAATATGATACAATACAATGATAATATTAATTAAAAAATTTTATCTTATGTTTAAATATTTGAATGAACATTGAAATCTATGTTTTTTAAACAAATAATATTTTTTATTATTCAAGATGATTCACTAAAAAAAAAGAAAAAAAGAAAAAAAATTTCAAGCAATAAAATAATTTTAATTTGATACATTTTTCAGATTTTTCGAATTAAAAAAATTTAAATAAATATACGCTATATTTCTTATAATAAAAGTTGTTATAATTTTATAATATTTAAATCAAATATATTTGTATCGAATAATGAATTTTTTCAATTAATGTCGATACGTGGACACAAAAATAAAGAAAATAAATAAAACGTTATACAAACAGTTCACGTATTACAATGTGCACATTAGATATCAAAATTATTTTATGTGGTAATTAAAAAAATCTATCTAATAAACAAATTAATAAAAAATAACGAGAAATGCATTGACATGGTTTAATAAAATGATGTAGATAATGTGAAAGCATCGAAATAATACAGATCCTGAAAGTTTGTCGTCTTATTGATTTTAAAAAAATACAAATTTGCGTACGATAATAACTGGTTGGAAGACTATGAAATTGATGATATTTTCCAATCCATGCAAAAAATTTAAATATGTTCACTTATATGTAGCAGCGGCGTAGTATGTGCATTGGGTCTCGATCAGTGTCATTGAAACTATATTGTACATGCATTTATATTACAGATGACTTAGACTAAATTAATGTTAAGAATCGTGACCATACATTCCTATTGTCATAATTATTTCATAAATATCTTTTGGAATAATATTCATGACTGTATTAAACTAATGTGAACTATAGATATCTTCATCAGAAACGAAATACTATGAGGTGTGAAATGAAGAGATATTCATACCCAAGTAGAGGTGGCAACGCGAGTATGTGCTTGCGCGCGCTCGCGCACGCAAACATTTAACCTGAAACATATCTGCTGCCCTCTGTTTCCAGCTTACTTAGCTATATCCTTTAGATAACTGCATCCACTGAATTATTGGGCGTCTTGCTGATTGTTTGTGTCTTACCATTTTACAGAATTGACAAAAAATAGGAACGATTAATAGGTACATTACATTAAATAAATCCAGAAGTTTTTCAACGAGTAGTTTTGATTATTATAAAAAATTTATTAATTTCTCTTTCTCTCTCTCTCTCTCTCTCTCTATCTATATATATATATATATATATATATATATATATATATATATATATATATATATATATATATATATACATATATATCAGTTTTCACATTTATAAAATATCAATATATATGCATATGTGTGCGTATGCATTCACCCACGCATGCACACACACGTGCGCAGACGCGCGCGCGCTCGCGCACAAAGGGGCACGCATGCATATGCATATAAATGTATATAAATAGTAATTGTTCAATAAATTGATATATATTCTGTGCAAGCAATAGTACTGAGACAATGCAATAACACGCTTCGTCTTCTTTCAGTTCTACAGCTGTGGATGAGAAGACCTCTCATTTTTATGTTGAAAGATATTCGTGAAACGCATTTTTAAGAATGTTCAGGAAAATGCCGCCGAGAAGAGCAAGTCACTCGGGTAGTTGGTACACGAAGAACGGTAATTTTAAGGAAAATTCTTAATTAGTGTTTCCTCCATTCATTTTCTTAGGCATTCATTAAAATAAAATAGATGTCGAATCAAAAAAACAAAAATCCCATTAACTATTTTAAGAAAGTTGACAAATTATTATACACTTTGAAATTCTTTAGCAAATATACAAATTCTGGATTAAGAATAAAAAAATTAACTATATATACTATGTTAATATTTACAATATTTCAATTTAAATGCTTTATAAGTATTTTGAGTCTACTTATACCATTTATATATTCAATTTAAAATATTGCGTACCATACTCGTTTGAGATTTTTGTCTATTAATTGTGTGTGATTTCTTTTAAGCATTTGATTTAAATAAAGAGCTGGGAGATTGGTTAAATGCTGCTGATTTATCTCATGGACCAGCCAGAGCAATTATATCACCGTTAGTATATGTATTTTAATTTGATAATTATTTTATATATGAAAAGAATTAATAGTATTCATTTTTATAGCCATGCTGGTTACAGTTACTGTGGAGCTTGTGCCGCATATGCATATCGTCAAATCAGTCCAGTTGCAGTGTAAGTTCATTAATATTTTAAATATTTTTTGTAGGAAAAAGCTAAAAAGCCTTTTTAGTTTTATTAAGTGATACATTTATTCATTCCTACCCATGGTGACTTGAAATGACAGACTTGCTGTTATGCAGCCGCAAGATATTCATTTTAGGCCCGTCCCACCACGGAGCATCACGCTGTTCTCTGACATTGGCTACCACCTACAAGACTCCATTGTACGACCTGAAAATCGACGCACAAGGTTATTATACTTTTTCTTATTTTTATCGGTTTTTATGTTAAAATTTTTAAATAAATAAAATTGATAATTTGACTTTCTAGTCTGTCAAGAATTGATATATACTGAAAAATTTAACTGGTTGAGCATGGACAAGGACGAGGAGGAACACAGTATTGAAATGCAGCTTCCTTACATAGCTAAAGTTATGGAAGGGTAGGTTCTTAATCAAACTTTTAAAAAATTAATTAAGATTAAAACTTTATATTAAGAAATAAATATTTCTCAAATATAGTTTCATAATATTTATTTTTATTTTGCAGTTATCAGGATTCATTCACCATTATTCCTATTCTTATTGGATCTCTTACACCTGCTGAAGAGGCTGAATATGGAAAAATTTTGGCACCCTACATGGCTAATCCTCAAAACTTATTTGTCATTTCTTCTGACTTCTGCCATTGGGGACAACGGTTTCGATATACTTACTACGATAAATCTTATGGTCCTATTTATAACTCTATTAAAAATCTCGACCAAATGGTTAACAATTATTTCAAATTTTTATTTAATATATATTTTGAAATAAATGTGTAATTTTATATAAATTATATTTATAGGGAATGGATATAATTGAAAAGTTAACACCCTCGTTATTCACTGAATATTTAAAGAAATATGAAAATACCATTTGTGGTAGACATCCAATAGGAATATTACTACAGGTAAAAATTATAAAATAAATAGAAAAATATATAAATAATTTTTAAATAATCATAATAAAATATATATATATATATATATATATATATAAAATATCATCATATCATCATATAATCATATATAAAATGTTTACAAAATAAAAGTACATAAATTTTGTTTCAGACAATACAAAGCATTAAAAATAGTGGCAATGCCCAACGAATGACACTTAAATTCCTTAAATATGCTCAAAGCAGTCAATGCAATAATATGAATGATAGTTCTGTTAGCTATGCAAGTGCTTCATTAGTGATTGAGTGATCAATTGAGAAGATCAATTTAATCCCACCGTTAAACGATCGATACGATATTTACGCGTAAATGTTATGTATAGGTAAAAAAATTAAAATGATACAAATAATAGAGCTAAAAGAGGCAGAAATTAAAATCGTAACGTATTTTTTAGTACATGCAATCTTAGGTGTTATTTTTAGGCACAAAATTGTTTAGGCACAGTTTGAGGAAATCGTCTTTTTTAAATGGTACTCATGCACGATATCATACTTATATACACATACTTAATGCAATTATTAAACCTATAATTATTTTCGTATAAAGACATACTTTATATTTTCTAAAGTACAAAAATACATCGAAATGTGCAAAATGAAACAGGAGAATTGAAAAACCTAATTGTAAATTAAAGACTGACTTGTCATTTATGTTTAGTGCATAGAAGAAAAAAATAAAAATTAAAAAAAATTATGCGTCAATGTAAATATGACGTTAAAATAATTCTTATGTACGCATATGATGTATAAATAACTTGAATGGTAATCAATTTAAATAATTTACATTCAATATATTACAAGCACTATACATATGAAAACAGGCTTCAATAAAAAGAAGTAATTAAAAATATTGTTAAAAAAAATCACAAATAGTTTTTTATTTATTGAAAATTTAGAATTTCATTAAATTAAATTATGAAGATTTTTTTTTCATGTATTAATAGTCTATTCATTAAACATAAAATTATTATTGATATATTCCGAAATTTCAATGAATATTATCTAAATTTTTATCAATTATTGTTTATACTTAATAATTTTTCTAAAAATATAACTGTACATGCGATATTTTGTATGAACTTACTGTTTCATTAACTTCTTAAATTAATGAAAAAGTTTTTTATTCTTTATTTTGCACGTGAAAGAAAAACTTAAACTTTATATTTTTCAAAAATATATATATTTTAAAAGTACATTAGAAAATATTTTATAAAAATGACATTAAGAAAATGTATGAAATTCGACTACAGGTTTATTTAAAAATTTATTGTTTCTTTAAATTTGTTAAAGAGGTGTGGAATTTTATGGTCTTACAATTGTGATAAATTTATTATTAATTATGCTTTGGGTAAAAATTTATGAAAGCAAAGATAACAATAAAACCTGTTTTAAGTATGGATACACCTTGAGCTTCGAGAAAATAAAATATAAATTTTAAAACAAATGAAATATACAATTGAATTAATTAACTGAGGTATTTTTAGGTAAAAGTACCAGTAAGATGCATTTACTTAAATAAAGCTTTATGAATAAAAATATTCTGTTGTTTTCTACACTGTTAAAAAAAAACCACTTATCCCAAACAACTATTGTTCAGAGTCAATTTTATTAAATATGAAATCACAAGTGTTTGTAGAATTGAGAGAATGTAAGATTTCACTGAGCTAATATTTTAATTTTTATAATTCTTTTATCAACTCATCACATTCTGTAATTAATAACGACAACACTATATTATAAACTGTTCATTTATACACTATCATCAGAAGCATTTGGATTGTAATCTGGATCATCATCATCATCATCATCATCATCATCATCATCATTGTCATCATCATTATCATCATCATCCAAGTCAAGATCATCCAGATTTTGGAAAAGACTTTCATCTACTTTTACGGTACTAGCTGAAATTATAGAACCAAATAAATAATTATTACTTTAATAAATCTATAATAATAAATTATAAATCTATATTTCTTGCCATCATCTAAGAATTTAAGATCAGATTGGTCAAGAGATTTGTCTGTTACAAATAATTCTCTGCCAGTAAGTTTTTTCCCTTCTTTATCAGCTAATTCCTTTCGTTTATTATAACCACTTTCTTCATTGAACTTTTCTTTCCAACTTAAGAATGATTCTACCGTAACTCTGGTTCCTTCAAACCTTTTCTGTTAGTAAAAATTAAATTTTATCATAACATGTAAATTTAAATTTATATTTTGATATTAAGTACAGGACACAAGAATATTAATATTTATAATATAAATAAAATTACTCTTTCAGCTTCTTCTTCTTCTTTTAATTTTCTAGCTGCATTTTCTTCTCTATTCAACTTTGTTCTATCCCATTGAACGTTAAGCCATTCTTGAGCTGTGCTAACTAATGTAAATACCATAACAGTTCCTAAATTCTCATTTATTTGCTCCTGTAAGTGTTCCATAAGCTTTTCGATGTCATCTTCATAAAAATTTTCTTCATCTTCAATAGAAACAATAAGTGGTACATCAGGATATTTTGCAGTATATGTAAACTCCAATCGACATGATAATCCATTGCCAGAATCTGACTCATATTCTTCAGATTTAATTGGAATAGCGAATTTATGAAATGGTTCTGTTTCTAAAACTGAAATTGAAAATAGTTAAAAATTTAAAACACAATAATTAAAAATATATAAAAAAAAGTGCTATTTACTTTCTAATTCACCACAATAAATTGAATCTAAAGCTTCAATTTCATTATTCTGCTCATCTTTATAATCCATTATGTTATATTATTAACAACGATAGATTTTATTTTACACTTTAGACTTAATAAAATAAATATAATAATGTAATTTAATATTTCTAATTAATAACCATAACCTATCATTACTTAACCTTCTCTTATTGAACTATTTGTTCAATCGAAACAAACAAAATAACTTTAAACTTTAAAAAAATATAATAAACATTTTAACAACTTATAATTAGTAATAAATAAAACAACGCGTTGTTAATGATTGAGTGATTAATCCCACATTTTTAATTTCTTTCCTCGTGTAATTGCATTGACGGGGCAACAGTAGAAGTACGACAATTTTGATCAGACGCAAGTAGAATGAATAATTGCCTATATGCAGGTAGTTGTTATACATTAATCATTTCAAATATAGTTGACTAAGGGAATTTAAGAATTGGTGAAAATTTCTGAAAACCATGAAATACTAAATAATAAAATCATTTAATTACACGAAAATTGTGATTTAAATAATAATATCAATGATAATATATGCACTAAAAAGACTAAAGAAACTAAATAATAACAAATTGTACATGATAATTTGCACTTCGGTGTACATCAGTGTATGAATTATTTTTCACGTTCACTTAAAGCCATAGAGTTTTAAATGCCTTGCAAATAAAAATTCGATTCAAATATACATCTACTTATATATAATTATAATTTTTTTTTTTTTAATTATAAAACACATGGTATATAATTAATTATTTCTTTTTTTACATTAACCATATTACCGCAACATTTTTAATCTACAATTTATTTTAATTCCAATGCAGTAGAATGTTATTTTATAGTACGAACAATATTATATAATGCATAATTTGGTATTTTAAAGAGCTAATTTTCATGTCTAATAAGGTAAACATTAGAATTTTAATTTATTTTAATAAAAGCTTACTTGACCCGAAACTAAAACCTTAAATAATTTTTTAATATCTAGAATTAATTATTCGATGAATGGATATGGATAATGATTTATTATAATTTTTTCATACGATGCAATGATTTTTTCATTATTGTAATTATTTATATAAAAATAATGCGCTCCTTTTATTCATAAATTATTTTTAAATGTCACCACAGTCACTTTCGCATTTTGGCCATTATTTTTCATATCTGCCATTTATTCAAAATTACGTGATTTTTTAGAGAAAAAAAAATTTAAGTAAACACTCATCATATTATTTTTAAAGCTTAAACGTGGTATTATTATCAGATAAGAAGATTTATAATATGTATAAAACATTGTTTCTCACAATAATATAACAATAAATAACAATTTTCTCGTTAGTTCGTGATTAAAGAGAGAGACGTGCGAATTATTTTAACCGATTGCCTACACCGACTGTCTAAATTACTCACAACTTGATTAAAACAACATAGCATTTATGCGTACAAAAACAAAAACAAAAAAACAAAAAAAAAACAAAAAAAAACAAAAAAAAAACAAAAAAAAAACAAAAAGAATTGATAAAAAATAAAAAAAATAGTGTAATGGCGCGTACGGAAAGTGAAGGGAGGATCGGGAATACAATGCACGTTCGTTTCCATGATGCAATTTAGGTTGTCAATATGCAGGAGATTAATGAAGAAAGAGAGTATAAGCGATAGCCGCTAATGGAGCCAACTGTCCATGGACGACATCGCAAAAATCGCCGAAATCGCCCAAAGATAAAAAGCCCATTCTCCTCGATCGAACCCGAAACGAGGCAAAAGCAAAATGAGGAAGCAGACGTGATTGAACAATAACCATTCGCGGACTCTTGGAAAATGTCTCTTTCTCGCCCCTCGGTTAGTGCGTGAAGGTCCCGTTAGGTGGAGTGCCACCACGTCAGCACGCACACACGCGGACCGTTGATATTGAGGTAGCGCACGGGCCCTAAGGACAATCAATACAATCGACGCAGCGTCGCACGTTGAGCGGACAAGCGATAAGCGCCGTGTGACTCCGAGGACGACGAAATAAGTTGAATTAGTAGAAGGAGAAATGTGATATTAAAATTGCTCGATCTCACGAGGTTGGTCAGGCTCTAGGGAAGGGTTGGTAGTGACGGGGATTGAAGAGCGAAGGATAGGAGGGGCGCGAGAGGCCCAAGTAGAAACAGACGGACGATGCGAGACGAGTTAGAAAAATTGACGAATTCGTTATCTCTGCTCGGTATCCAGAGAGAGTATACGCGGCTTTTATGCTTGAAACATTGCAGACTTAATACGATTTCGATCGAGACTATAACAATATTATAAACGGAGGGTGCACGAGGGAGAGGAATTTGAGGGGATGGGCCCTTTTTACGAGTGAATGATTAACGTAAATATATCGAAGGTCAATTATATATTTAGCTATCGATTAAAATTATCGATTAAAATTTGATATTAAATATTTAAATGGATGTTAAAATGGAATAGAAATATCTTCGAGTAGTTACAAGGAAATGGCATAGCATTTAATTTGACTTGGAAAATTTTGCGGACACTTTGTAGGGCCGAAATCGAAATAAACTCGAGACTCTAAAGTTTAAGAAAACTATTATTAATAATTTAGCATTGCATTGCATAGGACAATTGCTTGATACATTGCTTGTCATTCGAACTCGACATTTACAATCAGACTAACAGTATAAAGCATAATGTGCAATGACAATATGAAGTAAAAATGGAAGAGCAGAATTCGCGGAAGGAAGGAGCGGCATTATAGATTAAGTGGTAAGGGTAATGAGAAACGACCTAGGCAAAGGAAGAGAAGGAATTAGGAGTATGGAGGAGAGAAGTTGGAGAGAGGAGGGAGAGTGGACAAAAATCAGACAGCGCGGTGGATGAAGAAATGTTGTAGGGGCGGCGATGAAGTAGTAAAGAAATCGAGCAAGTCCAAAGAAAAGCGAAACTGATCCGAGCTGAAAAATCAACGTACGTCGAAATAGGGAGGTTTTGAACGATCGAGGGTGGGAGAGAGGAAGCAGGAAGGGGCTGCGCTCGAGGGGGAGGAAGCAGCCCCGATGTAGGTGGCAGCTGTTATTGCCGCGCAGACGAAGCCAGGCAGCGAGGGCCACTCTTCCGAACGACTGCGGCCAGTACATACGAGCCACTCGTTGAAGCTTTAGGTCTTCTACCCGTTGCACCAGCTCAGCTCGAAGGATAGTTCGAGATTCGAGCGTGCGCGCGCGAACGAAAGAACGAGAGATAAAGTGCGAGGGCTGGAAAGGGGCGGGAGGGGGAGTAAAAGATGGTGGAAAACAGTCAGGAACGCGGCCCAGCCGCCGGCGCCGCCGTCTTCGGGCCACTTTCTTGAACGGGGGCGTGCGCACCCGGGCGAGGGGCAATCGAAGCCGATCGATAGGAGCCGGCCCTCGTGCGCGGCCGGGGCATGAGCAGCCCCCCCGGGCACTAGGGGCCGGCCTGAGCCCCGGCTTTAATGAGTGCCGGGGAGGACCCCCGCGCGCATCCCAGCATCGATTGAAGGATGCACCTCTACTTCGAGAGGAACGACAATGCCAAGTGCGACTGCAACGTGCTGTCACTCAGCTGGATGGGCAAGTTGCCGGACGAGCTGCAAGAGGTCAGCTTCTCTTACATTTCTCTCCCTTGTTTATTTGCTTTGCTTTGCTTTGCTTTTGGTACAAGTGTTTCTTTCAACAAAACTCGACTTTCTCGATTTATCGCTGGTTACTCGGTATCCCTTTGTTTATAAACATTCTTCTTGCAGATGCCTATGTTTTCTTGTCTCTTTTATCACATATAAATAGCTATAAAATTAAATACCCTCTATGCGTTTTCTCACTGAATTTTAATTTTTCTAGTTTTCGCAACAATGCTAAAGCACCACGTATAGTTATTTCATTTGCTCAATAATCAGCTCAATATACTATTATCTAAAAAATAATTCAATAATGAAGAGATATATTTATAAAAGACCTTTATTTTAATAAACAAACTATATTTATATATAATAAATACTAATATTGACTTGTATCTTACGTTTATCAAATTTGGTATCAGTGATTAAGATTTATATCAATCTAGGTGCACCATTATTCCATACTTAACTTGATTTTTTCCATTATTTAAATATTTTAAAAATAAACCCTTTTTTTTTATTTGTCTAGTGTTTTCTTATACACGTATAAATTGTAATAAAATTAATCTACACATAATTATTGTGAAAACCATATTATTTTTATTTCTCATAGTATCGAATAAATATTATTAATATAAATGTTCAATTTAGTTAAAAAAATTATTTTTCTTTTTTTTCTGTTAAAAGTTACATCATTTACAAAAAAATTTAATACTAATGTTTAAATGTTTGTCTTTATTCGGCAATATACAAAGAATCATATTTATATCGTTATATGTATAAGATTTAATATGTACAAGTTATATGATATATATGTCATGTATACAAAATATTATACACTTAATAAAATTTCGTTTCGTGACATTTGAAAAAATTGAATTTCGTAAACTGATTCGAATATTTAAAATATGCAATTATTTTTAATTAAATCTATATACGCAATTAAAATATTAAAGCGTTTATATAACTTATATAAATACTGAAATTTAAAAATTTCATAATAAATTGAATTTTTAACTAAATTTTAACTTTAATTGAATTTTACAAATAAATATTAATATACAATTTACTGTGAAAATCACGTTATTAATTTTAATAAAGTATTTAAATAATTAAAATAAAAACAAATTATTAAAACTTTATTCCGTATTAGAAGCATTTAAAAATATAATATTTATATTATTACAAATTAATTAATAATATTTTCCTTACAAAGAGATCTAAATACTTTTTATATAAATAATATTTAAAATAAACTGATTTCTATTATTATAATTAAAATCAATCTATATATGAAATTATAATTTATAGAAACCAGCTTTGTGATGAATTTTATCAGAATGAAATTAATATTAATTGTAATTTTTAATTAATGTTAATCAAAGGATTTTATTTTTATTACTTAAAGAATTATTTGCATCTACTTAATCGTCAGAATTATAGTATATGCTTATTAAAAATTAAAAAAATATATCAGAAATCTCGATCTTTCTAGATAACGTTAATATACATTAAAACTATATTGGTAAACAAATTATGTGAAAAATTAATTGTTTTTTTTTGGAAGTAATTGGACTTTAAGACATCATTTTAATCTGCTTTTTAAAAAATGAATTACTTTTCACTTTAAAATAAAGATCTTCTTTATTTGATAAAATATAGCATGTACCACATTGTTTGAAATAATATGTAATAAATTATTGTAAACATAAAATTACGCACAATAATAAGAATTTATATATTGTATATACTTATTAAAACCATCAATTAAAGTGACTCGTTTCGTATATTTAATATAAATAACAAAGTACGTGAAAAAGTGAAAAATAAGTTATAAATATTAAATTAATTTTAATTGAATAGAATATATTAGAAATATTTATTTAATTATTTACTTTAAATATACTATTATTATTGGTGATATGCAAGCAATATCACCATTAATTAATAAATGAAAAACTATTATAGATGATTGAATAATTATTCAATTACTAATTAATGATATAACAACAATTATTTGTTTTTAAAGTTTTAGAAATTTTAATTCGTCCAAAAAATAAACATCTCATCTTTCTTTTTGATATGCTTAAAAATGTTTCACGATGCATGTATTGGTAGTTTATACTGCTTATAAATATATTACTAAAATAATAACAGGTAATTTTCAAAATTATATAAAATTATACATCGCATTCCAATTTAAATCAATATCTATAAAAATTTTGAATACATTAATTACAATGTAATTTTCAGCAGAACTAATATTAGCAATGTTTTATAATGTATTCACAATATTATTGGGGCATATAAATCTTCAATAAGTATCTTCTAAATTGCTTTAAATTAAAAATATTATTTCTACATAATTATTAATATAAAGTGTCTACTAATGCTACAATTTGTAATAATATAAAAAAATATTACTTTTGATCGTATTGGATTCTTCTTAAGCTCTTCTCATATCATACATCAAATCTGTTAACTTTAAAATGAATTTGTAAAAATAAAATTAAAACAGATACAATAGATATACTGAAAATTTTTTTTCCATAAATTAGAAAATAAAATTTTATTGACTTATAATTAATTTTATTTCTTCCTCAATACATTGTTTTTATATTTTATTCTGCAATCATTAAAAGTACAGATTCATATTCATACATAAATATAAGTAGTTTCATAATATTAGTTCACCATGTTGATATAATCAATACGATAAGACAGTGAGAAAAATGTAGCACATTGTGACCTTACAGTTAAACACTACATATCTATAAGAAATACGTTTTTTAAATGGTTTGAAAAAGAAAATTATTTCATGAGCAAATTATTTTTTATTTAGCAAAATGATTGGAAAAAATGTTTAGTTATTTTCATAAGAACATAAATGAAATTTAATTTTCACTTGTCAACAGTAAAATTATGAATATGTAATAATGATCTTAATTTAATTAAGTACATCAATATAATAATAGTTTACAAAAATATGTAACGGGTTACATTAAATTTCTACTTTAATTACAAATAATAAGCATAAACATACTCGTTCTGTACTTTGGTACATATAATTTTCTGTTCATTTATTTATTTCAGTTTGCTTTTAACTTTGTTCTAACTTGCTTGCCAGGATTATGATTTGAAATTTATAGTACATAATAATTATCTTAATTATTATTTAAGTTATAAAACAAGATACATTAACAGAATAATTTTTTTTATTAAAAGTTTTAATTATATTGAATTAAATTTCGAATTATTTTCATTTTAAGATATTTTTAATAACTAGAGTGTTGTTTTAATTTGTTAGGCTTATTACAAGTTTCTATTGGCACTTTTTTTTCTAATGTTCTTTTATTTCTTAGTGTAATTATTAATTGCATTATTATTAACTAACACTGTAATTGTTACATATAATACCATAATATGACTAGTTTATATAAATAAATGTATATACATATATATATATATATATATATATATATATATATAGCTTATTTTATAATCTTGAATGAAATTAGTATTCATATTTTCAATTAAAATCTTAGTAAATGTAATAGGTAACTAATATTGATTATAAATAAACTTAATTTTTTATAATTACACGATAAAAAGTATAATACTTTATTATTATTATTATTCTATTTTTAATTCTGATAAATTATATATTATCGCAGAAACAATATATTATTACATATAAATATTAGAAAATAAGTAAAGCAGTTATAATGTTTTCTGTTAGAAAATAAAAACAGAAATAGTAAGCGCAGCAGAATTATATAAATATATGCGATAGTATTTTTGGAAATACATATAGATTAAAAACATTTTCTGAAAATATTATCATATATATTCATTAGGCTACATTTATATATAGAGATGGAAATTATTCTATGGAAGCTTAATCAAAATAAAAATATTGATATCCTCATCTTTAATTATGAAAAATTATGATTAATGAGGTTTTCGTCTTTCTACTAATCTCAAAAACGAACAAATGATACTCAATAATTGTAAAATTATTTTTCATGTGTACATAGTATGCAGCATTATTATTTTCAATATATAAAGATATATAAAGTGCATTTTACTGTTTAAAATCTCCTTGTTATACGCATTTTTTATCAAATATTTTTTAATGAAAATATTTTGTTTATTATTAAATAAAATATTATAATATTTAAAGATATATTAGACATGTTATATGATATGAGATGTTACATAAAAAATTAATATGATAATTAGTAAAGTACTGTATGAGTTACGGTAGATATTAATAGCAATTGAAGATCTTAATTATCTTTTATAATAAAAGAAAGTAAGAATATGACATATAATGAATTTGTATCTAGATAATATATTGAAAATTTCAATAATTTAAAAAAATTAGTAAAATATATATTCAGTTTTGCGTGTGAACTTAACACACTTGATTATATTTTCTGTATGAAAAACTATATTTTAATTGTCTCATTGTAACAAATACAATTTTATTAAGTATAATAAGTTTTATCAATAACATTTGATGCTATATATGCTTACTAATAAATAGTAATAAAAATATTAGTAATATTACAATTTAAAATTCACAAATATAGATTAAAATAAGAAATTGTGTAGTATACAATAAAGTATAATAAGCTTAATACATACATACCAATTATTTTATATTTTTTAACTTTAATATGTTTTTCAACTAAATACGCTGAATTTTAATTAAATTCTTTTTTAAATAATATATGATTCATTTTAATCAGTAATACGAAAATCATATTCAATATGTAGATTAATATTATAATTGAAATTTTTTTTTATAAACAATCATTATTTACATATTTTATTTATATATTAAAGACTATAGTTTTATTTTTGTCTGTGAAAGATAGGAATTGTAATTTCTTTATATTTTACATAATATTGTGAATAATTAAAAAATTAAATTTCATAATTTATAATTTATATAAAATAATATATATATATATATA